TAAAATAATAGTAGTATTATGATCATTATATTTGAAGTATTCATTAAAATCGGCAGATACGAATGGAGTGGCAGAGGTATTTGGTTAAGTTTAGGTTTCGCTGTTTTATCTTTCAAAGCGTGCATTAGATGAACGAATAAATGGTTTTAGTAAATATGTTTGCGGCTTTCAGGATAGTCGGGCAGAGATAACTTATTAATATTTTTATGAAATTGCTTGTCTTGATACAGTTTGTATCACTAGATTGTGGTAGGATTATCTGCAATTTACTTAGCTTGATGGCATTCTTAACTTAAACTTTCTTTTTGACTCAAATGCACTTTTCCGACTAACTCATTGTATTCAAATATTCTGCTTATATAACCAAGGTACCATAAAAAATCAATTCGTTGGAATGAAATTAGATTTGTTAGGTCCGTAACAATACTATGGACATGTGAAAGAATTTTCCGATTCCAACTAAAAAAAAAAAACACTTACAAGTAGAACAACGAAATGGAACCATTTATTATATAATTATATTTTCATGGTTTGTAATTGTTGCAACAGCTTTTGAAAAAGTAGTTAAATAAGGGCAGTAAGTCGAACTAAGTGAATTTCTTTAGAATTTTAAAAAAATATGTCAAGTTTGGTATAAAATCGGTTTAAATTCAGCATTTTCTGTCAAATTTTTTTGTGACAATTTGTGTCGTCGTCTACATATATGCAGCTCATTTATTCGATTTTCATTTTCTACCTTCTTCATTATGTAAACCTCTTTACTTGTTCTACTATATACATATGCATGAAGCGTTGCATTTCCAATCAATTCGATCATCTATTAATGTATAATCAACAAAATTTTTTACAATTTTATTTTTTCGTCTATGGCGATATATATAGGCATTTACTAGGGTATATAAGTTTATGCATAGAATTGCGGTATACATTGATATGCTCTGTATCAGCTTTTCTAGCACTTAATAAAATTTTTCGTTTAAGTTTCGCTAGTCAGTTAAACTCAAGCGAGGGCTTTTTTATTTATTTATTTTTTTTTTCTTTCTTCATTTGGGGTAGCAAGGAACAGAAAACATTTCACAGTTCATCAAAGATGAAATTGAGGAAATAATGAAAAGATAACATGGGCAACACAATCCACGATTTTCAATGAGAACGGCATGGATGTTGAACACATGCTCGTATGTATATCGGCATTATCGCTTGTGTGTCTAAAGCGTATGTAAAAATATATAATGAAAAGGCCAAGGTGAAGAATGAAGATTTGATAAAAAAAAAATGTTCGAAATGATTTTACTTTAAATGTTTTAACCGATAAGGGTGACGAGTATAAAAAAATGAAGAAAATCGCTAATGGAATTAACATTTCATTAATTTCATTTTCATTCCCATTTACAGGATACTGCGATGAAGTGATGTAACTTAAGAAGAAAATTTTGAAATGCAAAAATTCTTTAAATTCAAAGCATTGAAATGACATGCTTGTGAATGGTCATTTCTAAAGGTATTCCACGAATTGCAAAAACGCTTTTTGCAATTCTCGTGTTCTCGAGAACACGCTTATCGACTTTCATTCAGCTCGATAATATTATATCTTTAGCAATGGTATTTTAAGTATCTTATGCGGTATCTTTGTAATTGACGCGTCTTTCTTAATAACTGATCTAACGTAATTAATTCTTGTGTGTTGGGCAATATTTCTTGTAATACGATCAATTACCTAAGGGTCATTTGCTATTCATGTAACATGGTGACGATCAGAAAGAGGAATGAAAAGAGAAAAGAGCAAGACATGGGAAGGTTGTGACTGAGATGCCTTAATTCAACATATTTGCGAACTCTATGCTATGTCTTCGAATAATTCTTGATCACGAACTTAACTTTAGCACGCATATTGATGGTATCTCTTCTAAAATATGTCCCACGCTACGAATATTACACAGGCTGAACCTAAATTTGCCGGTCCAAATTAAACATGCCGTTGCGCATTCTCGTCTAATGTCACATGTATTGAAGCTATTTCCAGCTGAACATTGTCACATTGGCACATTGTCAGCCGTTTTGAACGCTTTGTCTATAATGTTAAATTTCTTTGTGTTCTTCCTGTCACAACCTTCTCAATTGTTAATAGAGCGACTGTAGTTTTTTAGGTCGAGTCGCAATCTTTTCATATTAACATTGTGACCGCTTTGGCCGAACGTTTATTCACTGGTGCACTTCGATACTGGAATACATTATGAGCAAATTTTGAAATTTTTTGATAACTCCTGGATTGTTTTTAAAAGAAAATTGCCTTTACTCTTAAACACGTAAATATTTCCGAATTCTGGCAGTTGACGATTACCATGGTTAGTCGTAGAGCAAGGTGATTACTTAACCTTTTGCACTCGGAGGCACCGAGGCGGAGCCATTTAAAATTGGTCTTCAAATTCGAGGGCTCCGCTACGGAGACTTAGTAAATAGTTTGCAGTTCTTAACATAAAAACAAAAACAAATCGTAATAAATAGTATTCGAGGGGTTTCGCTGTTGGTGGCAAATGATAATTGCGCCTCGCGGATTGTAATACGAATGAAAAAAAACTTCGAGTAGTCATTTAGGTTTTTCTCTCCACACGTTTTATAACTAATGCATCCAATACATTGGTCTATGGCTTTATAGGTGCATATATATTTGTAAAAAATAAAAGAAAAGGAAAGAAAAGAATTTCTTCTCTTACTGACATTAATGGAAAGTATTACTTACTCTAAATGCGAAATATCTGAAGCACAGTCAGGTTAATTAGAGTTTCTCGGTAATGAATCAGCCATGAATATATTTCTATCTGATATATATTCCATAGAATATGCCTCAAGGGTCTATTATTGCCGGAAAAAGTTTATCATATATTTATCATATATTTATCATATTTATCATATTTATCATATATTTATTTTGTTACATATTTTACATGCTAATATTATCGCATTTTCAATCCATGCGTCTATTAGTTCCATTCCGGATGGATTATTGAATGCAAATATATAAAATAATTGGTTTGACATCCGGTGATGGAAATGTCTTAAAAGAGGAGTCGTCTTCATTGCGTCTTCAAGTTTATCTATTGACACTTAAATTCTATTTCAATAATTATCGCAATGGTTGATCCAGACTTGCTAATTGAGGAACAGATCATCAAAGGTAACTAACTAGCCACACTTAGTAATTTTTGCCTTGTTTTGAGAAGCCGTTATATGTATAGTTGCGTTAAACGAAGTGCTGTAGTAGTGGTGATGTTGTGGTAGGTGTAATAGTAGTGGTGTAGTGTCTCCCATTTAATATTTTGGATCGATGGAGATCGTAGGTGGAGCTGGGTAAAGAGCGGATCAGAGCGTAAGACAATCTCAGCGAATAGATTTCCTCCGTTCGTTGGTGTTTATATTGGTTAAAGCACGTGTATTTATTTGCTTGTAAAAATGTCGTCAATTTTTTCACGTCAACTTAGTGTATCCAAAAAACCGTTACTCAGCGATATATGGCGACAAATTTTAAAATTTGCAATATAATTTCTATACTGATTTGGCTGATCTTATTCATAGGTGAAAATTTTTGCCGTGTCTCTGTCGTAGTTTCGAAAAGCTTATATTGCACTGCAGCCGCGTCCTTTGATCGATTTGGTACATTTTCAATAGCAACCTGTGTACAAAAATTTCCAATGTTCTTACCAAATTTGAAACCGATATCATCGTTTATAAAATATATACATGCAAAATTTTGTAGTTCTATCCACTATGGATTACGAGTAATGGCAAAATCCAAAGACGTGCTTTTTGATTACGCAGTAGTGTGAATTAGTCCGTGAATCGTTATGGACCATTTTCAAATACAAACCTGTGTACATGAATACCCAACGTTTCTGTCGAATTTTAAGCCGATAGATTAATAATTGTTTCTAAGAGAACGGTTGCACTGACCGTTACAAAGACGGAGAGATGGACATGTTTAAATCGATTTATAATTTGATGCTAATTGGGTATATATGTAGTTTAGGGGGTCAACTAAAATCTCTCTCTGTCTCTTTTGCAAATGTGTTAACAAAATCCTTCGATTATGGTTATAGTAGTAATGCCAATAAACGAAAAAATTCAATGGATAAGCTCCAGATGTTTATTTAGAATATAACAACATTATTTTAACTTTCATTGCATGACTAGAAAGCGATTTATGTGGATGCTAAGAAAATCATTAATTTTAATTTACTCGAAGCTTCGAGAAAAAAATTTACTAATATTATTATGTCTACTCTGTTAAGGGCAATGTCAAAATAATAATTATTTTCATTTGTTATTTTTTCAATTATTACGTAAGCAATACATTTAAAAAGTAATATTATTTACGTTCGGTCTTAAATTGGGTGATTCAACATTTCATCGAATTTTGTTTTCAAGTTCGCTATATATATATCTTTATATATTTATGTCAATTTGTTCACAAATATTAACTGTGGGACAATTAAAATATATTTTTTTTTGTAATTACAAGTGAGGAGCGAGACATACGTTCGGAAGATTGAATTTCATTTGGGTAGAAGTTATACGTCATTGACCGATTGGTCAATGATGTAAATTTAAATTCCTGTCGATAGCGTTACCCTAGTGTAGTTTCTACAGACACCTACATGCATATTCAGCCTTCGCAATTATTGTTCAGCTGAGAAAGTTTTCTAAGCGAATAACAATTCTAGAGTAAAATAATCAACTTTTTATCAAATTTTTATTTTGTTTTATTTAACAAAATCATTGGGGGAGGGATTAATTACAGTAAATGATCTTTATTAATCTCTTTTGTAAATGATCTTTGTCAATCTATTAGTTTTTACGCCTATTTGTTGTTACGTTTGTTGTTATCATGTTAAAATAAAAATAATATCTTACACCTGATATTATAATACATATATACAAAGTTCAAGTTGAAGAAAAGCGAAAAACCACATGAATCATTAAAATATAAAACAACAAAATTTTAGAATTTCTCCAGTTCTACTATTTCCTGTTCAAATAAAACGCAAACAGTTGCTGTTAAAGTTTTAAAGAATTCGCAAACACCTGTTTATTCCTCTAACTGCCATCAAGAACAATACCAGCAGAAAGCTTTAATGCCTCCATTGGATCACGCCACTCATATTATAAGTCATCAACATCATTGTCGTCATCACCATAGGCATCATCAGCATCATAGTCTACAACAACAGCAGCAACATCAACAACAACAGCAACCACCACAACATCATCATCATCATCATCAACAACCACAACAACAACAACAGCAGCAGCAGCAGCAGCAGCAGCAGCAGCACCAAGAGAACAAACAGTCTCGGTGGCAGCAATCACAGCCACAAGCACACCAACAACTACGACCAACAGCGTATTATCAGCAAAAAAACGATTCCCAATACTATAATGAGAGAAAATCAATTCTGCCAACTGTTACTATTACGTCCCCACATTCGTTTTCCTCCCCGAATACACCAAAGCATTGCCGACATAAATCTTGTAACGCTACTCAACATCATTGTTCGGCCTCACCAACTGCTGATGCCCGACAAATGATAACTTCGCCTAATACCACACTAACAAAGGCTAAAAAATGGCGTCGTCCCTTTAGCACATATTACTCTTGTGATGAACTAGATGGCAATGATCATCAAAGTGCCAGACTAAAGCATGACCATCAAACAAGCGAGAAAATGGTGGTGGCCAGTCTCAAGTATTTGTGTGCCTGCACTGGAGCCACATTACGTAATTTGTCAAAGAAAACTAAAGACTTACATAAAAGTAATTGCTATTCATACGTGAAGGTATGTTACTATCACAAAGTGTTATATAAATAAATTCAAAGCAAATTCAATTAATAAGCAATCACTTATATAATGATTTTATCGTTTGTTTGTTTTTTATGAATTATTCCACAAATTTTTGCTTTTTTTTGTTGTAAATATCATCAAAGAAGTCTCACGTTGACAAGAGTCTGTCTATTTTTAATCCTGAGTACGCGTTTACGCGCTTTTCTAGCCGCCCCAAATGCTGTAGCGATGATCATATATCTTTGCTTGAATTTCTTAAAATCCAATAATCGACCAATGCTCAAGCTTCCGCTAATGTTAAACACTAATCCTCTTTTTTTGCGTTTATTGGTTAAATCTAAACATGAATGTAATAAGGATGCTTATGTGCCACTTATGGTACTAAATGTATGTTCATAATGATATATATATATATATCGATAGATTTGATAGCATATGATATCTTGTAAATCTCCCCATGACCGACGGGTGAGGTGGAACATATTCTTTTTGCCAAGACATTTGCAACGCCCAGAAGGAAGCTGCATTGATCCTACAAAGTATATATATTCTTGATTAGCAGTTCGTCTGTGTAATGTCTGTTGTCAAATTGTCGCAAAAATGAAGCTATCGATTTTTACTTTGGCAGAAACAATCCAACTCCTTGCACGCAAGGTGGATTGGCCAAATCAATCAAAGAACACGCCAACACGCCAACAGTACTAGGTAGAATGATCGATAAAAATGGTTTTTTGATCTGATCATAAGTCATCAATTCCAACAGATAAATTTAAAAAAATTTGATCCTATATTCTGTGGGCAATGGTGTAGTACCTGCGCAGACCTGTAAATTATGAGCGCAAAATTTCCCCTAAAGTTAAACTGTGGGGGAGTCCTCTTATTAATTGTCCGTTTATATGCATCCTTTTGATATGTGACGCTTGCTGATGTTTCATCAACGCGATGATAGCATTTCCCAGTCTATGAAGTTGATTGGAATCTTCGAAAAATGTCCTGCTGAGAACTTCACATTCAGAAGTCTACTCGATTCGTCACTTTCTCACAAAAAAATTTTGCTTGCGTTATCAGAGAACACTTCTTCATAAAATATCGCCTGATACTCACTACGCACATTCCCGGTATGAGAAGATAAATTAGTTATCCCTTAACTCAACTATCCTTTCTTTCAGCAAACATTCGGCTTTTATACCCTTTGCAAAACAAGCACTAATACCAGAGTTAACCCTGAAATTTGGTTAGTTGCTTTATCTGTTAAATTTCTTGTGAATTGTTGTCTTTAAGATCACTTTACTTTATGCCACTGCCAGATAAACGATCTTTAAAAAAATATCTAACCTAATTTTTACGAAAAAAACTCGATATACCTTAAACTCCGTGCAGCATGGAATTTGTATTCCGTAATGTCAGTTGTCACTTGTCTGGTAGCGTGTTCAAAGGTAATGGTATGCTACGCAATCATTCAGAGACACGCGCCACATTTTCCTTTGATCCATTTCGGGGATCCTCTTTTAAAAGTCTAGGCCTTCAAAAATAGATATGCATTTGATCATCATGTCTTTACCTAATAAGAAAACAATTTTAATACGTAACTTATTTCCGTATGATTGAAAGGCCTCTGTTTCAATGGCACACACATTTATTTTGTTCCATTTTTTTATGCTGCATTATTGACAGGGCAAACAAGTTTCTGTTGTTTTTTTAAGTAAAATTTAATGTTTCTTATAAAAGCGGAATGCGGTACTTTGTTCAACAGCATTATCTCTCTTAACTCTTGGGAAAAGTATTCATTTCCTGACAAAAGCACAACTGAGGTCTTTTGAGGCCATATATCCATGTTAAAACGGCAGCCATATTCGAACAGAAGATAAGTTAACCAGAAAGAGTGATGTCTGTTGACAACAAAGGGCGAAAACTTATGATATCTTGACTTTTAACATATTGCGCAAAGTTACATCAAATGTTGTTGGTAGCGTTTACTAGCGATGGAAATATCTGTTGGAATAAACCATAATGAAGCACACCCCGCTGATCTCTCAAATAGATCTGAATGGATGTGCAGTTTCATCGTTCGCGGAGTTTGCGCGAAGGCTATTTGGGCTTTGGACATCGTAACGATTCAGCAACACTATGAACTTGAATTCGGAGAGAAAAAGTTACGATTTTCGTAAATTGGGTTTTTTGGCACAAAATCCTCCGACATATTTAAACATCTCTAAAACTATGTTTTGTTCACTTCGCAGATTAACATATACAATTGAACAAATCGTAAAGAGAAATGTAAAAGTCACGGTTGTGTTCCTTATCTTATAGTGATTTGGTCCCGAGAACTTATTCAATGACGGAGTAATAATTGTTAGATTAGAATTGTTACGTCAGGTTCGTTGGAAATTATGATTAGCAGGAATATAACCGCAGACGGTTAATGTAGAGAAGGCTTCTTATTTTGTTGGTTACGCCCTCTTGAAAACAGATAATATAAGAGCAAACTACACTTAATTCTCTTTTTACATGGATTTCATTCCATGGTTTTTTTTGTGCATTTTTTTAATGAATTTTTCTGATGAATTTTTCTTTATGTGTCTATGAATTTTTTCATTCTCATGAAGTGTAGTGTATTTTGTATGCAATCTAATTTGGTTTTTCAAAGTATTATTATAATTTTTTTTTTTTTTTATGTAATATGCTTAATGAATTAAAATGTGTAGGCACGAAATAAGTTCTTAGGAGAACTCTAACAAGAATTTTTTAATATTTCAGTTGCTTTTTTTATGTCTGGAACCAATCTACTAATTTTTTCATTTATCGCCCATATATATTTTACACGAATTTTTTGGAAACGCATCTCTTGTGTAAAAAGAAAATTAATTGTATAAAGGGAAAATTTTAAAAATTGAAAAAAAAAAAAATATATATTAATATATATTATAAATAATGGATTTCTTTTTCCCCAAACTAATATATATATATATAAAATATATATATATAAATAATCATAATATTGTTATGGAATTTATTAGAAAATAGGCATTGGTAGAGAAGTGAAAAAACTGTACGTCCTTTTATTGGTTTAATTATTTATCAATGTGATTAGATTGTAGCGCAAAATATTGGTAAAACATTAGACTAGACTAGAATAATCATAATAAAATATTTTTATTTTTTTTAAATTTTTCTTCAATTCGCTCTCTTTTTTAACGCTATTTCTTTCGTTTACATTTGATTTTATTGTTTTTGTAAATTAACAAAGAGAGTTGCGTTATCACTTTTACTTCAGTATTTCAAATTTGACATAAAGCAATGTCCGAATAGCGCTTAATGCGATTAATGCCATTTACCAATTGCTCACTTTGCAATTGTTGAAATTGGCGGTTTGGCTGGTTTCACCCACCATTTGCCATTGTATTTAAGGAATTTAAGATAAGTTTGCTTATTTTCGATATCTTTTGCTACGAAGTGCTTTCCCTCGGGTACACCAACCAAGTACATCAACAACGTTTTACCAAAAGGATCTCCTTGATTTTGACTTTTACTGCAAAACGTAAAACTTTCCCACACTTCATTTTTCCCTAACCTATGCATATCGTTGTCTGTCTTCTTCACGTAAAGCAGATTAATAGCAGATTAATAACAACTTTAATAGTCCCTGACCCAATTCCATGGAAAAGAAATGTGGCAACGTTTGCAGCTCTAAATTTTTTCTTTAATTCTACAGTAACAGGAAAATTTCAACTCGTTCAACTTTATTTCACTTACGTTTTCGAATTAACTCGAATTAACTTCAACATTAGCTTTACAGACGTCTTGTCTCTACCTACTTTTACTGAAACCCGTTAAATTGACGGGTTAATTTTGTGAATCATCGCAATCAGAAAAATTAAAGATAGCGAAACTGAAAATTTGAAGTAAACATTGCTTGATCAATTAGAAATATGTGCCTAAAAAGTAGGCGCAATATAATAATAATGTTCACGAACCCACGTTGACAATATAGAAAAATCTAAAACGAATTCGATAAACACCGATATTTTTTTCGATATATTTGTCTATAATTTTCGATTTCGTGAATAAAATTTTAAAGAACAGTTACCCAAATATTTAATCATATATTTTTTAATCGGTCACGGAACGTGCGCGCCATTGAATATTTATTCATATCAGCTTTCTATCTTTATTTTGGCGAGTCTCAATTCACAAAAATGCTATCCGTCAAATTGACGGATTTCAGTAAAAATATGTGTACCACATCAATAAATGGCAAAGTGGGCGGGTCCCAGAAAAAAAAAATGTTAACAACTATGTTTGCTGCATTAAAACATTAAAAGCCATTGTGATTGCGACATGGGTTTCACGTGGGTACCTGCTTTGATGGCTTAACCCCACGGTGGCTAAAGCCACGCGGGTTATTTAAGCGTAACCCACGCCACCTGGTGAGTTAGACAATCCTTATAAAGTAGGGGCCTAAATAGCATCAGAGTCCAGATTGCTTATTGTGTATGACTCAATAAACCCACTCTGGTCAGTGTTGGGGCCTATCCGCACCTCGATTTGTTCCACTTTGGCTTGGAACGAGTGAAAACCACAACCACCACGAATACTCCCCGAAGGGCCGTACCCAAGCAGTCAGGGCTCACAACTTGATCAATTTGAATGCGTTCAAGGCTCGTTCCACCGTAGTTTCTATAAAGTCTTGTTGATCAATTACCATTATTACCCGCCGTCATTCGTGAATATACAGTTTAAAGTGTAAAATAGGCAAAAGGGTAAAAAGTCTATCGTCAAATCGCTTTTTTTTTTTTTTAATTTTATTTACAACTTTTCATTTTAATTCCATCACTTAGCCGCAGGCACACATGGCTATTGTGAGCGGACTCCTGATCCCTGTGGAAAAGAAGCCATTGTATAACATCTGAAGATATCTACTTCCCTACGCACAATTTTTAATCTTGAGATCTATTGTTGAATATTGAATGCTTTTCTGTGGCCCGCCATGTCGTTTTCTCTATGTAGAGTTGATTCAATGTACGCTCAGACCATAAGACTTATATCATTTTTTTTTTTAAATTTTTGCACACAAACTCGGAACTTTTAGTTTTATAATTTTGTTTTTTGTATTGTCATTTCTTTCAAGCTTTATGTATTACGTGGTTAATAGTTGCCAAGTCAAATGCGTAGGTAACGATAATTCTAATTAGGTTATGATTCTAGTTACGTTTACTTATGACGGCAAAGGATATTATCGATGCAAACTACTTTAAAGACAAATCAAATAATCTCTTTTATTACTAATATCGGCGTGATATCGGCTATCGTGAGTTTCGCTCTCAAATAACTTTAAGTGAGAAATTAGTCAGGTGTTACTTGGGTGTTATCTGTTACTTGGTTATAATGTAACCGGGAATCACGACGACTCAGGCTTTTGGTTTAGTTGTCCATTATTATTTTTCCCAAAGCACTAATTTAGATTTTATTTTTTTATCCATTTTATTATATATTTTAGTTGTATTTAAGTAAATGTTTTAGTAATCTTTGTTACTTGAATTAAATTTTTCGTTGTTTTTTTTTTTTTTTTTTTTTGCCTTATTTTAGCCTACGTGGCGTATTTGGGGTGAAGAAAAGGAGAAGAATGCCATTTTTACTGTTTATCTGAAAAAAGTTTGCTATCACAGGCCAACACCTTCAGCGACAAATGTATGAGGACTGGTTTGTGCGTTTTATTGAGAGTTCATATATAATTAAGGTTTATTTTCTCATTCAGGATTCGGAGGACGAAATTTCCTATTTGGAGTGGGAAATGGTGCGCGTGCGTTTCGTTAAAGCGGGTACATTGGAACGTTTGGTTGAGGCTTTAGCCACCGATGATGGTGAATTGGAGTCAACCTTTATTAATGTATTTCTGAACACGTATCGAACATTTTCCACGCCGAAAGAAGTCCTTGGTTTATTAATTAAACGATTTCATACACTTAATGAGAAACAGCGTCTCGAGGATTTGAAAAATAAAGATAATGTCGATTATGATCGTAGTGCATCTATTCATGAACAACATAAAAAAACTCTAGTCTCTGTATGGAAAATGTGGCTAAATGGTTTTCCAGAAGATTGGAATGAAGAAAATTTACGGCATTTGATTGGATTCACTTCCAAGTATATACCACATTCGGATTTGCATGCGCGGGCTCTAAATCAATTGGAAATGATTTTGCGTCAGGAGTATAGTAAAAGCACATTATCATCTACCTGCCTATCAGAACAGTTTGCCGGTTTATATTTGGCTCCAGAATTTCAAAGGCGCACTTGCTTCTTGGAAACTTATCGTTTTCCTCGCATCGATGTTAGACACTTTGCCGAACAGTTAACGCGTATGGATTGTGAATTGTTTAAACGGGTGATATCACATCAGTGTTTAGGTGCCTCTTGGGCACGCCGGAATCAAGGATGCTGTCAAACTGTCGTAGCGACCGTCAATCAGTTCAACGAGGTTTTATATCGTGTTATTACAAGTATTTTAATTGAGCGACTTTTGGAACCACAGGTGAGCAAGTTGAAAACTTTGGATTGAAAACTAATACTCAATTCTATTTATCTTGACCGCTGACAGGAACGGGCTATGTATATAGTTGTGTGGATTGATATTGCACAGGAATTGCGGTTACTGAAGAATTTTTCATCCTTGAAGGCAATAATAACGGGACTCAATTCTTCGGCCATTTATAGATTGCGAAAAATATGGTCTGTTTTGTCTAAAGATAAGGTAACAATCAGTCTCACAAGTTCGAAATAAGTTAAAAGTTTAGGGCGAACTTTCCATATCCATCATCCGTATACGAATTGAATAATAGATATGTTTGGTATATACAAAACATTGTATATGCGTTCAACAGATTTATGTATCGTACCTTAAATAAAATCTATACCGAATATTTTAAGAAACCAGAAATAAAGGGATTTTCATAAGGTTTTATTACATATTAAAAAACTTAAAGTAAAGCAAGAAAAGCATTTATTGATGAAAGTCCTCCTTTCTTTTGATTTCTGGAAAGAAAAAAAGCATCGGAAAATCGCAAAAGCATGCATATGCCTCCTCGTCTATTGTGTAATGAGGAAATTTTGGAGAAGAACATAATTCATAAATAGTTTCGATCCGCACACACAACCAGTTGATGTCGATCACATGAAAATTCTTTCGTAAATATCTCAAAAGAAATATATTCCGATGCCGATATCGTGATTATGTGCGATATTTCTCATAATCAAATTTCAATCAGTATCATCATGCGCAGTGCGTGTGCGCGTATGATTGTTTCTTTTGGGCGCTGCAAATCAGTTTCATGCAATCCTCTCCATGTTCTGAAAGACGTTTTGGACGATTTCTTTGCGCGAAGGCTCAAGAATATTATGAAAGGCTGATAACGAAATTTGTGACAACAGAAAGTGATTGAATGCTAGCTCTTTGTCTCTTATGTATGGAAAGTTACTTATTTCTTCTAGTTCTTAAAAGGAGTTTAAAGCAATTTTGTTTTAGATCGCGCATCGAAACGTTAACTGGCTATTCGGCTTTAAATGAAGCCAAATCTAACTTTAGAACTTAATGTTATTTAATCTGAGAAAAGTGTCAAATAAAAAAATATTTATTGAAATATTTCGTTGAATAATTCATTTTAAACAGATGGAAATTTTTGATGAACTAGCTCGTATTTGTTCCGAAGAAAATAACGCTTCAGTTCAAAGAGAATTGTTGATTAGAGAGGGCACCGCTAAGTTTGCCGATACTGTCGGAGAAAATGATCGCCATTTGCAGAAAATTATACAGAAACAAGTAAGTGTAGTCCAGTGTAGTTTCGCAGTGTATAAGTTTCGTAAAATTATTTTTCGCTTCTCTCATAGAGCACACAAACTTCTCATGGCACTATACCTTACCTAGGGACGTTCCTTACCGATCTAACGATGATACATCAAGCTAATCCGGACACAGTTGGAGAGGAAAATTTAATCAATTTTGAGAAAAAGCGTAAAGAATTTGAAGTTTTGGCTCAAATTAAACTGTTACAAGGCGCTGCAAATACTTATAATTTGGAAGAGGATCCTTTATTTAATCGTTGGTTTTATTCGATGCCTGTATTATCTGACGAGGATGCTCACACGTTATCCTATCAGTTAGAGCCGCCCCAGCCCGCGGCGCCTCGAAAATCAAATACGTCTATGAATATGTCTTCAGCTAATTCTTCAGTGCTGGGTCATCGTAAAACTGATTCGATAGCTTCTAATTCGAGTAGCGGTGCTGGGTCCCAATTTTACTGCGAGGTCAATAATAGTACTAGCTCTCGCTATAGCTCACGGAACAATTCTTTAGATAGAGAGGCACAACTGACACATAATACTCAAATGTCTGCTACAAGTAGTGTTTCTAATCTCTCTTTGGACTCGAGTAATTCAGGCGGAGCTGTTGTTATAGGTAATAAATCAAAGATAACTCATTCACAAAGCTCTAACGGTCTGCTGAGAAGTACTGGTGGTTCAACAAGTGGATCTCACACACCTAATTTATTGGGCTCCCCGCTAATTAATGCACAAGTTGTTAATTCACCGGGAGCTAATTCACCCTTCTATATAGTAAGAGTTACGTTGGAAACTGAAAATGTGCCTCAGGATGGCATAGTTGTGTACAAGAGTATGATGGTCAAAAATAATGAACGTACCCCACAAGTAATACGCAATGCCTTAATGAAACTCGGCATAGAAGATGAAGCCGAACACTATACATTGGCTCAGCGTCTACCCGATAAAGATGTAGAATTGCCACGCAATGCTAATGTTTACTATGCCGTAAATACAAATTTTGAATTAAGATTTATATTAAAACGTAATAAAGACTTTAACGGTATTGGCAGTCGTAGTAGTCGTGGCAGCACCAGCTAATGGTTAATTAAGACCCTATAAGTATGGGTCTCGAAAAGCTTTACTAAATGTCGTACACACATCTTAAGGGTGCTTTAACACACACACATACACACTTACAACCATCTACAGAACATTTTATATCTATGTATTTTTTATGCATTATTCATTAAAAAAAAAATAAAAAAAAAAAATAAAAAAAAAAACGAATAATCTGCACAATATTTTTTAAATCACTATTAATATTTATTTATTTCGAAATTGTTTATTTAAAATAAATAATTTCTACATAATTGTAAATTTTTTTTATAAGAATATATATATATATATATATATATATATATATATACGAACCTATAATTCATAGTTCATAAAACAAAGCATCATTTCATAAAAAACCAAACAAGAAGAAAAAAAAAAAATAACAAAAAAAAAAACAATTGCAAAATAAGAATATTGCATTTTGCATAAATAAACTTTTGTAGGACATGTATGTCTGTCTTTTTTTCGACAATTGTTTATATAATATTTAAGATGAAATGAAACTCAATACACATAAAATAAAATAAAATAAAATAATGTTTATATCTGCTTTACACATTAAATTTAAGATATTTGATATTAATGCTAATCTTCCTTAACGAAGATTTTCAATAAGGTTTTCCACAATCATCAGATGTAAAAAAATGACGCGATAGTAGCGTTATGTACATCGAGACGGCTATATACACATCTACGCTCACTATAAAATAAACATATACATAATTTATTGGACAAGTTTAAAGAACTGAGTTTTCCTTCTTACTATTATATAGCAATTAACTTGCGTGATAGATAAGTTTATTTTTTTTTGTTAAAGTACATATGAAAGCTACAATAGGATCACGTACGTGGTATAGAGTTTTCTCCTTTTTTTTTTAATATACTTTACGTCGTTTTTAACTGGTTATATTACATTGAGGTGCATACGTAATATATATGCAAAATGACTTAGGGTAGACGGACATTTTAAAAAGATAATCGATTCAGAATCATTTTTCCATTTTAAATATTTGTACATTTATTTTTATAGGTCATAGCATTCAATAGATTTTCACGAGATTTGGTTTATTGAGATTTTTTGGCCTCATTGAGAGTAAATTGCATTAGAGATAAAGTCATATAAAACTTTCCTTTGAAAAAGGTGTTACATGAAAAGTTTGTGAAATTTAGTATGCGTTTCGCCAAATTTTTGTACTTTGTATTAATTAATTAAAAGAAAGTATGCTGTTATATGAAAAAACATATTTACTTTAAATTAATTATGTTAAAATTGACACAATTAGATCTATTTGTCGAACCATTTATCATGTTAGTGTTCTCATGGCAATTAAGCCTTTAGGTGGCAATAAGCTTAATTTTTGGTATTTAATGACGAAAAAAGCTGAGGAATAATAAGCTCTTTGATAAAAGAAAACTTGTTTTACTCAACTTGGGCCGCACATATTCTCATGACGAGTTAATCTATAAATGGTAATAAGGTATCATTTTTGATATTTTATAAGACAGAAAAAAGATGAAAGATTGTATTAGGCGAAGTGACGTATCATCTTTAATGATCCGCCTTTCCATGACTATAACATTCTCACTTGTTTTACTTTCTATTATTATTTACTACGTGTACATTGTACTTCACTGTTGATCTATATAACTCAAAAACATTTCAGTAGATTTCAATAATCCATTTAATCAGTTTTGGCAGTTCGGGCAAGTAAACAATATGTCCGTAATATAAGCGCTTTTTGCTCTTAAAAACGAGTATTGTCAACTATTACAGGAACTATATATAACAAATGATAGAGAGAGAAAGAGAACGACAGAGACAGAAAAAGAACGAAAGAAAAAAAAAAAAAGAAAGAAAGAAAGAGAGAGAGAGAGAGAGAGAGAGAGAGAGAGAGAGAGAGAGAGAGAGAGAGAAAGGGAGGGAATTTTCGATACCAATAAACAAAACACTAATAATATGCTTCGAGTCACTCTTCCAGATCGACAGTAGCAGAAAAGTGCGAGAAATTAGGTGGCGTTGGAAGATAAAGATTCATTATACCTTACACCACTTGTGATACATACGAACGTATGCAATATCCAGAAGAATTTGAGCTACATTCAATTTTTATTATACCGAATCGAAAATGATCAAAGTCTAATAAACCGATCTAAATCTGTTCAATACTCATTTACTTAACCTATAGGCTACAATTTCGGAGATCAAATTTGACAGATCGAACTGTTTTGGCCCAAGGATGAACGCTAGTAAAAATTCGTGAAAACTTGTGTCGGACCACTTTTCCAACCACATTCAATATGAGGTATTTTTTTTTTAAAAGTTATACATAAATAACTGCATTAAGCAACGTACGTAGTGTAGGGTATCTAATAGTGGATCATGTCTTACTATAGTGTTCTTATTTGCTTTTTATAAAAACATGTTTATTGGAGTATGTTTAGAAGCATCCACATTTTGAAGGACTTTAAAGGGGATATGGGTATACTTTATTTACAATAGGCTTTTATATGGGTTGCATCGTATCAATCAATATAAATAATAACTAAGGCTTTTCTTACATGCTCCCTTTTTTTTATTAATACTAGTTCGTTTTTCTTTATGTTAGTTAACATTTGTGAACAAGCTTTTTTTTATGTGTGTGCGACTATTCTTTAAATAACGTTTCACTAACACTTATTTAGTAGTCGTCTAAAAAACTTTAAAAAGCCAATCTTACGAATTGTAGCAACTGTTAGTTGTCCGTCATAGCCGAAATGTTTATCTAATTCTTGAGAAACTTATAATAGAATAATGGATAATGGATTGTAACAAGCGATATATATATATATATATATATATAATTTTTTATTAATATATATATATATATATATATATAGATAGAAAAATACGTAAGAAAATTATATTTAAATATTTTGAACCGATTCCATTCTAATCTTCAAAAAAAAAAAAAGAAGAAGAATTTGTTGCATTTTTTATTCCGGTTTTATAGGGTCACCGATAAAATGTAAATGGAAATTTTTACCATCTCGTATATCTCGAATGATGAGTAAAACAAACACATTTTCCTGCTTTTGAAAGGAGAGATGTTCAAACCCCATCATTAAGGGTTGGATATAAAAAGAAGAAAAAAAAAATAAAAAAAAATCAAGCCAGCGAACTTTATTCATCTTGAAATGAATTGTGGATGGATGTCAGTCAACCAATAAAAATTTTTGGAATTTTCGAAACGCTACAAATGAAATGAGAAAATTATTACGTTCTGCATTCTGATGGTGAGCATAGAAAAGAAATCGGGTTATCAATGACGTCATAGATGTCATCATAAGCACTAAATGTCGTCATATATTCAAGAAATATACGTACATTCATACACATTAGCATTAAAACGTTATCTTCCATAACGATTGCTATGCAAAAGACTGGTTACTTTCTGCACTACCAACCAATGACGTCGATTAAGGAAATAAATCCAATAATGTAGGTAACGATATGATAAAAAGAAAAAAAAATAAAAAAAATCTTTAATCTATTCACAATGTTAACTATTTTAAATAATAAATACTTTGTAATAAAAGACGTTTCTTTTATTATATTTTTTTAGAAATATGTGTGACACAAATATCGTTTCATAGCCGATTTTAATTAGTTTTTCTTTCATTTATTGTGGATAGTTTTTAGTTTTAGTGTAAGCATTTAAAATTTTAATGAATATTGTGTTTGTTGTTTCTGAATTGTCATTATGTCATGTGCATGATTTCTGACATTCTGCTAAATTGCGTTTGTATGTGATTTATTCGCTTACTTCGCTCTATCTCTGCATTTTAAACTTTATAATTCTTTCCAATTTCTCTTTTCTTTTTTTTTTTTTTTTTTGCACTTGCGCTTTACATGAATATCCTGTTGACGCAAGCTTTTAAATACGATAACTCTCGCTTCCCATGTTTTGTTCTCATTACATTAAACTGAGTTGAAAATGACATTTAACATTCAAATGGTTATCGAAAATTTTGGATTGTTATTGTTTTCACCTTTAATTTGCAAAATTTCTTTACACAATCATTCGTGCGCAGAATGACAGGTAAGATGGACTGAATAAGAGAGCAATAGCTTCTTTCCTTTCTTTTCTTTTTTATGTGAACCTTTGGGTTTTCTTATTGCATTCGAACAAATTGAAGGAACGAAGAGAAGAGAAATATATATCGGAAACGTTGCCATCCACGCTTGGTTTAATTATGTCTCACAACTTTATCTAAAAGAATCGTCGGAGGCGCCACTTTATCTTCATCACTCTAATTAGTTTAAGTGCGATATTAAAGCAAATGGGTTCGGGACTCTCTTCTTGCAATTGCCAGTTCCATTCCAAAATTTCCGCCTTCTCAGCTTGAAAGCCGGTCAAGCGCTGATATGACGCAAGTCTAGTTTGAAGGCAATGAAAACAATATCTATGAAGAAAATAATTTCTTTAAATGTAACTATCCGAAATATGTTGTTGTGTAAAGCACATTTAATTACCTCACATATATAATATGATCGGGATTTAATTTTACTAATGTCGAATACAAGAGAATTCAGTATAAACCCAATAGAATTTCACTTTTTGTTATCCGTCGAACAATTTAAATGCATTCGCAGGCACCGCTAGGTGATAAGCTTCGAAAGAGATAATCATTTATGGGAATCTAAAGTACTTTGAACGTATCTGTAATCAATCAATATTGAAGATTTAACCTGAAATCTAACAATGGTTCACATTTTTATTCGCAATACTCGGATTATTAGTATAATACAAAGTGCATCCTAATAAGCTTTTGCTTGAATCCTGCTGAAATCCTTCTTGTATCCAATGTGAATACAATTTTATTATTAGTATATGAATAAAAAATTGACATTTTTCCTCTTTATTAGTTCATATCGATAACATGTTTCTCTGTAGATGCAGAAGGGCTCAGTTATAGGACTAATCGCATAAAATTAGTCATTAATTAATTAATTATTTTGTGTTATTTAAATTAGTTAATTTTCCGAGTATAAAATTGTCATCGCTACGATGTTTTTTCAATTGTCTTTTTAACATATTTACAAAGTGGAGTTGAACGCAACATTTGGGTATTGTTTGGCGTATTAAAATTTTGTTTCAAAGTAATTTTAATATAGTTTTACGCGATCCACTCTACACTTAAAATCAGAAGGAGAAAAACAAATGTAATTCTTTAATGTGTTGTAAATGATTTTCGTAGACTCGCATTCTACTTTGAGCTAAAAAAAAAAATTGTCAAGTATTTAAAATCGCAAATAAACTAAGGCTTATCTTTACGTGAACTCAATTTGATTTACTTCTTACAAATCGCGTGAACGTAAATTTGATGAATGACTTTTCAAAATCTCTTCGCGCATTAAAATTTATTTGAAAGGCGTGTAATGAATTTGTTAAGAAAGATTGGAACCAACTATTGTCTGAAGTGAATACAATATACATTATTATGTTCTATAGGAATGGATGGTGAGAAATTTGTTATCTTCTTAAGGATAAGCTTAACCTCTTACTTGCTCAGTCAGTTGAGAGTTAAAACTAATTCAGACTTACACGTCGCATGTTATTGCAAATTTGAAATGAGTAAGTCGGCAGTGCGATATTTTGTGCAGCTTGCGTAAATTATTGCAACTCGATATGTTAGTCTTAAGTTTTCATAGGCGTTATCTAAGATTTCCATAGCAATATTTCACAATCAATCCTACGTCGAGAAACATTCAATCCCGATCGGTATATAACTATTTACAACTACATATTTGTTTGCTAAACATATGGAATAACCGTAATACGCCAAGCTATAGCTATGAAAGTGTTGATACATTGTCGCGTACAACAGATTCGTCACGATGTGACTTTTGTTCGATTATAGTTTTGATTGCACGGTATCCGCTATTTTCCAAATGCGGATATATTTGATTAATCAGCGGTAAAAAGTGCTCAAATTTCGCATAAGATTTTTTCTTTTTTTGTTAGTTTAGTTTTAATTTATCGCCCAACTTCTCCCAATAATTTTGAAAACAATTTTTAAGATTACTTGAAATTCTGATGTTCGTATGAATTCTTGTTGGAGTTGTTGAAAATCTCCCAAACATAAGTATGAGCATTATTTATTGTAAATATCAGTGCAGTACGCAGTTACATTTAAATAAACCGCTTAATTGTTTTCGAATTATCTAATATATATATATATATATATATATATCTTCTTATTATATACTTCGGGATACTCTCCACAGCAGTATGTTTGGCTGCGAATTGGCGAATATCGAGGTGAAACACATAAAGCGATAAAAAGCTTTATGAATATTAAGCAGACTTTGTTTTTTTCTCGGCTAAAAATCATCAACTCGAATAGTTGGAGACGTTGAGCCTGATAGAAAGGACATCAGAATAAACGTGAGGCGGTACAATGTTATCATATAACCAAGAATTGTTTTAGTAAATTGGTTTTAAACAAAATGCATGGAAAAGTAAAAACTTATAAGAAATAGGTATAAATGGAAAAGAAAAATTGATTATTCGATTTAAGAAAAATCCCGAGAATATGATAATATGGAGAGAACATGAAATGTGGAAACAAATTACTTTTTTTTTTTTTTTTTTTTTTTTTTTTTTTTTTTTTT